ACTAGTCTTGATCAAGTCCTCAACCTCATCTGAGCTTTCAAATCCAAGTCCCTCTGTGCACAACTGCAAGCTCTCTGAATTCATTGATGAAAAGCTATCACTGCTTTTATGAGATCTGTTGTAATTGGAACTCCTTGGGGTGCTCGGAAAGGATTCCTTTGATGGGCTTTTCTGGTAATTGTTCTCCTCCTCATTCTTGTTGCCAAAATTGGATTCTTCTTCTTTTTCAATCTTGGGCTGTGGAGCATCAAAATCTACCAAAGATGGGGATGAAGATGAGGAGGACATCAAATGAGAACAAATGTTCTCTTTGAAATGAAGCTCACCAAAGATCTCAGTGACGGATGACGAATTCTCAGGAGGAATGGATAATGATTTATTAAGAGGCTTGATTTGGTTCCATGGTGAGGAGAAGGATTCAAGAAGTGTTGTTGGGTTCTCAGGTAATTTAGGGTTTTCAAAGATGTGTTGGAGGCTTCCACAGGCAGCCATGGCCTTGTTCTCTGCAGTTCTTACTCCTCTCTCTCTCTGTCTCTCTGTCTCTCTTCTCTCTAAGATGCTTGAGACAAAAGAAACAAATAAAGGGTAGTTCCAGAAAGAAATATAGGAGATGAGATTTTGATGGTGGAGAGAAAGAGGCACGGGATCAGGCATGTGGGTTGAAAAAATCAAAGGGTGTGTTGTTGCTATTAATTAATGAGAATTGGTGGTGGGTGCTGATTCAGTTGGACTGGAATATAGAGATGGGTGGTGTTGGTTCTACGCCTTGAATTTGGTGCTTACTGTTGGTGTAATTGGCAGATATAACTTATAAGTTATAACCAACCGATATTTTTTGTTTGTTTTGTTACACTTAACAAGGCTTAGCTATGTAAAGGCACCTCACATCACATGAATTATCTAGGGTTATGACAATTTTATGTTTTAACTGTGATGACAATGTTTATAAGTGTATTAATTTAGGGCAACACCTTACTTGCCTAAGGCTGATAGATTGTGCGTGCGCACACAAACACGTTTATATATACACACACATATTTAATTGATGTGGCATATAATACCATAATTTTATACCATATGAAGTGGCAGCTGATGTGTATATACTACATCATGTAAAATACTAGTTTTTGTTTTTCTAATTTTATTTATTAAAATACACTTCATTCATTTAATTGATGTGGCATATGATATGGATATGTCACATCATGTGGTATAGAAATGTGGGATAATAATGTGGTAAGTGTAGCATTACTCATATATTAATAGACGGTTCATGTCATTGGACCAAATTGCGTGGAGTGAGTGACCCCAATAATGTGATTTTTTCTTTCCTCTTTCAATTGTTTTTCCAGAGATGTACATATTTTCCATCTTACAACCTACGTGGTGGCAGATCATTGTTCTACATATCCAAGGAAACTGATGTGATTTGCTAGAGGATTTGAACCCATACCCTTCACATCTTTGAGTCTTCTCTTTACATCATTTCTTGCCTACCCACCACTACTCGCTTGTGTGAAACGAAAGGGACTTCGTACAAAGCACTACACAATGGCATTTGGAATTGTTCTTGCTTGATTTGTTGTTGGATAAATATATATATATATATATAGTCGCTTCTATTAAGGAATTTTTCAAATAACTTTTTATTTGAGGGACACTCTTTAGGATACCTTATTAATATTTTTTCAATGATCCAAACTATTTATTTTTTAAGCCTTCATTCATAAACCATTCTTGCAAAAAATTAGACAAATCGGAAACTATTTAGATATCTAATTGTGTTCTACAAATCAATGGACACGATTCTTCAAGAAAATACTAAAATTTCAATAATTTAATTGAGTGGTCAAATGATATCGGATTCAATTGATTTTTTATAGAGATGATCTTTGAATAAATATCTACAAAATAGACGGCTTGAATTAGTTAAATACAATGCGAAGTACACCCTACAAGAGTGTCTCTCAAATAAACTTATTTGAAAGATCCCTCAATTAGACAAATAAAAAACCATCTAATTGGGTCCTACAAAATCAATGAATATGGTGCTTCAAGAAAGTACTAAAATTTCAATAATTTAATTAAATAGTCAAATGATATCGGATTCAAGTGATTTTTTGCAAAGATGATCTTAGAATGAATATCTACAAAATAGGTGGTTTACATTAATGAAATACAGTGTATGATGAGCTTTATAAAGGTGTCCCTCAAATAAGCTTATTTGAGGGATCTCTCAACCGAAGCTATATATATATATATATTATTCCACCTTCTATTTAGCGATCCCTCAAATAATTTTATTTGAGGGACACCCTTTAAGGTACCCTACAGTATATTTTTTTTCAACGATTGAAACTATCTATTTTTTAGGTCTTCATTCATATATTATCCTTGCAAAAAAATTAGACAAATCAGAAACCGTTTAGACATTTAATTGTGTCCTACAAAATCAATGAACATGGTGTTTCAAAAAAGTACTAAAATTTAAATAACTTAATTGAGTGATCAAATGATATTGGATTCAAGTGATTTTTTGTAGAGATAATCTTTGAATGAGTATCTACAAAATAGACAGTTTGGATTTGAAATATAATGCGGAGTAGGCCCTACAAGAGTCTCTCAAATAAGTTATTTGAGGGATATCCCAATGAAAGCTCTATATATATCATGGATGAATAGGGAAAGGGATTACTCATTTTAAATGATTGCATTAGATATAAAAATTGAAATGAAATTGAAAATAAAAAAATTTAGTATTTAAAGTCCACCCCTTTTTTTTTTTTTTAATAGTATCATCACATGTAGATTTTGTTCACATAAAAGCTTAATATTTTTAAAGTTTAATTAAACAAGTTGCACTGAAATTTCAAATCTAAATTCATCCTTTCGAATTTAAAAAGGATGGATTTCAAATATGAACCCACATTTCTATTATGAACTTTGATTATAGGCGAGTAAGGGGGGTTTCACACATACACATTACCAAAGTGTCATGAAGCTTTGAACTTGAGACCACTGATTTGCAAATCATAGTTCTTTTTCACTAGAATAGCACTCGTTGATTATGAACTTTATGTTAAATCAACCAGATGAATCTACACTTTAAATTGTATGCGTCATACATCAAATCAGCAGAATTTGTCTTAAATTATATTTGTTCACATACGAATGTCGTAATTTCATATATGAGACATAAGAAATTTCCTCATAAATGATAAGGGTATTGATGTGAGAGACGTGGATGAGATTGAAAGGTTCTTAGTTGTTGCCACGTCTCCCTGTCCTAAGCTGCTGCCCATGTTCTTAGGAGTGAATATCATGTGGATTTGTAACGAATCTTTGAATAAAAATCTATACCACAACATGTCATCTCTATATTTTTTCTCGAAGACGAAAAATCTAAATTGCCACAACATGTTACCTCTAATTCGTAGATTTAGATGTAACTGTTAGACAAAACTAGCCTGAAAACTTAAGTTATTAAAGAATTAGTCAATAATGTATATTACGCCATTCTAAATCCTAAACTCACTCTAATTACCTTTTGTTCAAAGTAAGGATAGAGAAGTTCTAAAGGAGCCATGTGCAGATAGGATGAAGTGCAAAGATATGAAATAAGGGATTGTAAAACATAGAGAGTAAGTGAATATCATGTTGGGTTGTCGCGGTGCAAAGAGGCGGTGGCATGGTAAAGAAAGGCAATGCAAAGTCAGGCAAAGAAAGGCAAGGTAAGACAAAAGACAAGAAAAATAAAGACAAAGAAAAGGCAAAGGACACAGCAACAGCAACGGCGATGACCACAGCAACGGAAAGCAAAGCAAGTAAAGGCAAGGTCAATGTCAAAGACAACAGCAGCGACCACGACAACAGCAACGACAACACAGCCAAAGTGAAAGAGAATTCCTCCATATCTACTTTACCTAATTCACGCAGACACAACTTCTTCACTCCCCCTCTCCCCTTGAAGAGAAGAGGTTGTCGGAGTCAAGGAATAGGCAATATCTTCATGGAAAAGAGAAACAGATCTTTTTCGCTCCCCTCCCATGTGATTCTACATAAAATCACTTCTATGGATGTGAGAATCACATGAGAGGTGTTTCTCACAAAAATAACCTAAAATGATTATATGGAGAAGCATGTGGGAGGTGCCTCTCTCCAGAAGTGAATTTGCCTATCCAGAATCATTCCCAAACGAGCCCTAAATGGGTAAGTAATCAAAATCCTAACTAAATAAAGACTCGCCAACAAAAAAGATCAACAAGCCACTCTAATTAGATTGAACTTTACTACAACTTAAACTGTTTTTAACCCAATCCAAACGGTAAGAACCAGTTCACCTGTCGCGATTATAAAAGATTTTAGATGTCATGGCCAGCCTTCGATCAAGACGGTTTAGCTAGCTGGATGAGCCACAGCCAAGAGCTGGTGATTTTCAAGGGCATGGAGATGAGGCATATGTCAATGGTTCCTTTTGGTAGCCACTACTTTTTTATGACAATGTTTGGCTCCCGTCACTCAATAGTGATGGCTCATGTAAGTATAGACAACCATCTCCAAGCCGTTGAGGTTTATTTGATGTAGACTATACTTCTAAACAATGTAGCAACTAGTGTTCTCGAGAGTTCCATAATGGGGTAGATTTTATGTCGTCCTGGTATGATTTTCTTTCCACGTGATGTGTATTGTTCACTGGCTATATACATTTCTGGTCCCCCCTTCTCATTTACACATTCCAGACAAATCAAATTAAATACCATTTGTTTTTCATCGATTGTGAATGAATGATGGGTAATGTTAACGAGTCCTACAATACATTAATGGCCCACAATCGTCCACAAGTGCACGGACAACTTATGCTATCATAACTCTGACGTTAGCCCTGTTATCTTCTGACATAGTTTTTGAAATGAGGAATTGAAGTAAATCAATTACATTGAATATAGGAAATCTTGGCGTGTAAGGAAAGTGATTGCGGATCCACAAGTCACACCAACAAAAGTAAAATGATGGTTTATTCATGCATACATCAGAAACACAATGGAACTCCAATAATAGTGTTAGTGATAGATACTATCAGAGTGTCATCCATGAAATAAGAATAGGTTAAGCAGACCACACAGCCAGACAGAAAACATACATCAACAATTCACAAACTCTTCCCACAATCTTGCAAATCAATCAAACTTATATTCACACAATGCCATAGATTCAGTTACAGATCAAACTGGATAGAGCTTTAGCTTTCTTCACCGCCAGGCTTCAATCCGCTCCATCCTTGAATCTATGCAACTCAGATTGCTGATACCCCTATTCTTCTCAACAGGCCCTGTTCCCCATACCACAGGCTGGTGATCACTTGTGCTTTTAGGCCCCATTTTGAAATTTGAGATACTCGATTCACCAGGTTTGTTCTTTGCAGATTCGCCTTGAATTTCCGCTGTTATGCTGTCAACTTGTGCAGCAGTATCACAACACCCATCGCCATCAACCAAGCTTATCGAACTGCTAGCCTCTCTATTGGTTAGGTTATTGACATGGTTAGAGTTAGAAGAACTTCCCAGTATAGGTTCTCCAGTAATCAACGATTGCTCTTTCTCTTCATTATCTTTGCCAGTATCCTCCCCGCAGGACTGTGAAGGGCTCTGGTGTCCATGCTCATCAGAAGGTTCTTCATAGCACACAGGAGGCTCTACCACAGCATCCTTCCTTTCTCGCAGTGTCTTCAAAATAAGCGTTTTGAGGAAGTTCATCACTTGGACTGCGTACATCAATGCAGTCAAAGGATCTGCCATCTGAACCCAAAAAAAGAGTCAAAATATGGCAATGATAGCAAACATAGTCAGAAATCATTTAATGATTTTTCTATGGTTGGAAACTTCAAGGTTCCCAAACCAGAGGGGGTGGGAGGTGCCCCACTGATACTGTAGCCTGTATCCCTTTGTATGTAATATGGTACAAAATTTAGTATACAGCATATGACATGCAGCTTCAACCCTTGAACAAAAGGAAAATGAAACCTTCACTGGAAATTAAGAAGCTATATATACACCAAACTAAAGAAACAAAAAGAAAACAGTCATACATGCAGTGAAAGCATGTATTCAAATCAGCGATTGGGTTATCAGAAAATTAACATGTGATCTTTCAGAAGAAATAGTAACTATGCTTGCCACTGATATCGGTATGGAAGATGCACTCTTCAGGGGAAAGGAGAAAAAAGCAAGAACAGAAAAACTATGAAAACAAACCTGCGTCATGTTTGGTGCAAAAACCATGGCTATGTTGCGTGCATTCATCTTGTTCAGATGTTCCTGTTGGACAACATCAGCCATAAGGTTGATGGCCCAATCCAGTAGGGAAACTTCGGTGGGAGGTAGAAGCCTCACAAGCTGCGAACAGTCCTCTTCTGTCTGACATCGCATTACCTGCTCAGGGGATAGAGAATCCAGAACCCCAGCTGGGAGTTCCCTAAACCAAGCCTAAATAACCAAATTACACATCAGGTGAATGTATCAAGAATCAAGACGATGCAAGATGAGGTAAACAACAAGAAAGCATTCTATTCTAATGGGCGGTCACATGGATCATGGATGCATACACATGAGACTCACAACCACAAGAAAAGGAATAAAGATGAACATTCAAGTCAAGGAAACCCATAAGTCCTAGCATTTTCACCAATATCCAGAATAGGCTTCACAAGAAAATCCTCAGATATGTGCACCATGAGAAAAGGTTACTGAATAACAAAGTTTGACTTGTAAAATAAATGACATGATGAAATGTAATGATTAAAAAATGTATGTGCAAATGAAAGGAAAAGAGTATTTGCAAATCTAACAAGTTTTGGATTTGCAAACAAAACTCTGGACCTTAGTAGAAAGGGAAGTGGGAGAGAAGATAAAGAGAGCATAAAGATGAGGAAAACAGAAGAAAGGAAGAGACGAATAAGAGGGAGCCAGCCAATATGATTTCATTATCCTGTAATTCAAGTTGAATCATAACCTATTTATAAGGCTGATCTTAGAACCCCCGTCAAAATCAAATTCCTTCATCAAAATTCCAAAAAAATTAAATCACTGATAAAATCCTTAATTTACTCTGTAATCAAACCCCTAAATAGGATAGAAGTCTGTAGTAATAATTCTTTGTAGGATCTTCACCATTCTTCCCTGGACTCCTACTACAAGAACTTGACTCTTGCGAGTTACAATGGACATGTGATACTGCAACTATCTAAACTTCAAGAACATTTTCAAGCACTCCCATTTTTTGTTGATGAAAAGGTACAAAGGATGGTGACAATTCATCAACTACACCTGGAGTTGATACAAGCACAACAAAGGAGGCCCAAGGGTGCCTCAATAAAAGAAAGATCATGCTCACTTGTACCCCGTGTTGTTCCATCCTCGATTGTGGCACATTTGTGCTTGTGTCATGCCATAGTTGAGTTCATTATGTTATTTTGGCATGAGCCTATGTGGTTTTTTCTTCTTAGATAGCAACTGACACATTGAGAGCAGAAAACAGTCAATTGAGGCACAGAAACAATGAATACAGAAATACAAAGGAAATTCCCCAGCCCATTTATTCTCCACAACGAGACAAAGGATTTCAGAAAACAAATCAATTCCCTGTGAAATGTTTCTCTAAGGACTCCTACAAGAGATTCTCAACACCTTATTGGAATCTCACCTGTTAGTGCCAGGACCATACTACTTTGAAATGACAGTATGCCAAACGGATTTCTCTCCTAAGGAAAGATCCACAATCACTTCCCTAACAAAGTCACATTCCTCTTAGTCAGATTTGCTGCACGGCACACACAGAATTCTCTTCCTTTCCTAGGTCATGAACCTAATTCTGACTTCACCAAATCCTCCTCTTTACCTTCTCCTTGGCACAATCTCACACAAAGTCCCTGACTTGGAATTTATAGAGCCAGTCTGAAAATCCCATTAAATGAAATCCCATAATTAACTCCCTCGTGAACAAGGATAAAAGTCTGAAAATAGTTAACAATCATTCTCAGGGCCATCATCACCAGGCCATTACTTTGGAAACTAAATTCAAAGCAATGTCAAATATGCAAATTTCAAAATGATCACTGACACAAACCAATGGGTGCACATTTACCCTTATAGATGTTGATGCCAAAAATCAGATGAAATGTCTTATGCTTTTCATGCAACACTTGTGCCTTCAACATGCCATGAAATTATATCCGGAAAAAAAATATATATAACAAACAGGCCATGAAATCAAGGGAAAAGTAAAATCAGAGAAGGGGGCAGTATGGTGTCAGCCAACAACCTCCGACAATCAAGTCAAGCAAGAAACTTGTGAGGAAGTAGAGAGGCAGAGTCCCCTGTATCACTATCATCATTCATCACTCAAATTAGGTTACCTTCACATATTTCATGTGGACAAGCATATGCCAAATATAGTGCAAGACAAAAAGTATCAATCATAAATTATAATGACCTACCTTGATCAAACCTGCCAAACAGTGTATATCGATGCCTTCTGGTACATCTCCCCTATTTAATTGGTCCCTTACATGCTCCTCTTGACTATTTTCTGCATTAATTCTGAAAATCCCTTCTGCCTACATTTATAGTTTTACAATTTGAGAAAATGTCAGGGACAATAAGTCAACAGCTTTATAACCAAAAATGTGGAAGCAGAACCACCCCATATCACACAGACAATACAGTGAATCAGAATTACAGACTTAAGTTAATTCTTAACTATTAGGAATGTGTACCATAATTTATGTCAGCATTGGAAATCAGTATTCATGACGTGAACATAAAATGCACAGAGAGAAGGGAAATGCAGTATACCTGAAGGCCTCCTTCAGCATATAACCGTCCTTGCATAAGCAAGAGAATTGTTGGCACACTATTCCCTCTAGAGTCGTATGACAACTGCATGGACTCCGTGGATACTCCAAAAACTGTTGTACTACATATTAAAAAAATCAAAATCAAGAGAGGCAGAAATTATAGCAATTAAATGACACACGAAATTATTTTTTTTTGCCACGAAACAAAAACTGTTATCACAAAAACTACCAGGCTTTGAGTTTTTGAGGAACAAATAGTGGATCTGATCTAATGTTGTAAACAAGTTTGTAAAAGTGCAAATTAATTTCATTCATCTGTGATGATGAGGAATGTGATGAAATTTGCAATTGTCAAAGACGTGGCTCATAAACTGATAGGCCAAACCAAGGAAGTTTATAGAACATATATCAGGACAGAAAAAAAACTTGAAATCATCTGTAACCTCACAACCATAAATATTGAATCGCAGAAACACATGCACTAATTGAACTCAAGAAATGCATTGCAAAAACCTATTCAGGGAAAATAATTACACCAGTTATTGTAGACAGAAAATTCACAGCAATTCCACAACTCAATGCAACCAAAACCCATCAATCAAAACGAAAACTTTTTCAATTACATAAATTGGGTAAACCCAATAAACACCAAACATAACATAACAATACAAAACCCACGTTCACATTTCACACGAAATCACAGCGGAACATTCACCCCGACCCAAAAAAAAAAGTTACCTTGCACTAGGAGCCCTCCTGGGGACTTCAGGTTCAAACTCCACAGGCAAACCCAAGAACCCATTGAACCTATCAAAGGTGACATGCGCCACGTGGCGCACATTGGTTGGCCAGCCGATCTCCATAGCACAAAGCTCCCTCCTATCACTCTTGCAAGGAATCAAAGATTTCCTGAAAAAGGTTACAAGCAATGCCAAGAGAGAAAGCTGTTCCCTTCTCCGCTTGTCACGGTCCTTCACCTCACAGTCAGTCACCGCAGACTCGCAATCTTCTTCTTCGCTAGGGTGGGGCTCGTAGGATAAAGAAGATGGGGGTGCGCACGATAACGAAACAGAAGAAGAATTAGAAGAAGGAGGAGGAGGAGAAGAAGAAGAAGAGGAGCCGGCTCTTGGGGAAGAGCAGAAATGGGAAGGGGAATGGAGGACCTCAGTCATGGCTGGCTATGAAAGCAACCTTTTTCTTGATTGATTAAAAAAAGCAAAGAAAGCGTTTTCAAGATTACTTCTTTGCTTTAAGAAAAGAAGAAAATCAAAAACAAATGCTAGAAAAAGCCTTTGGTGTTGTTGAAGCTTTTACACAGAGAAAGAGAGAGAGAGAGAGTTTGGATTGGAAGGGAAGAAAGGGTCTTTGAGCAATGAGCAATGTGGGACGTGAGAATCATTAACTGAAATAAATGTGTCCTTTTTTTTATTTGGTTTTTTTGTGACTGGTTTTGGTGGCGTTGAACAAGAAAAGGAAGCAACAGAGACAGAGACAGATAGAGGAAGAGAAGTTGTATTTCGGTGCGAAGACAAATAAATACGGTTGGGCCGAGCATTAATTAATGTAATTAATTTAACTTTAGAGTATTAATTTCTACAGGTAGGTTTTAATTAACTCTCACCACACCTTTTTGCTTCTATCTAGTGGTGTAGTGGGATTGGCCGGCTGCAGGTATTTGGTTTTTGAGATTGGCCGGCTGCAAATTTTGGCTCTTCAAATTCTCACATGGTCCAGTCCCTTTCTTCTGGTTTGATAAGTTGAACACCAAACCTCACTAAATTTTTGTTTCTACCTCTACCATCACCATGGGTCATCCGCCAAATTTACAGAAGATTAGTCAACGGGGGTGGTTTAAGAAGTTTGACATCTTCTTATGTATGTTAGTATGTATTAGTCATAACGAATGACCAATAAATATATATATATATATATCTTCTTATGTATGTTAGAAATCCGCATTGAATTCGCATTATTATAATCCGCAATAGAGAAAAGCCCTATACATATTTTGGAAACATAGACGACATACATATCTATAAAGAAAAACTCCATTTAAATAATCAATAGCCATTTGACTCGTCCCATTTCCATTACTTCATTCAAATCAACAACAACAAAATGGTACTGCGTAATACATTGTATGAAGAAAAGGTTTTCTTTATATATTTTTAGAAACTATGTCAAAAACTATGGCTACTGCCAAGATGAGTTTAAAGAGAAAAGCATAACTTGCCTAATAAAACTGAAATGATGATGAAATGAAATAATTCAATTAAACAATAATGATAGTCACTTCAATTGCATATAAAGTGGTATGGACTTGTAGTATAAAATGCGGTAAAAGTAGTCTTATTGATAATGAAATGTTATTAGTAATTTCCTAATTATAGTTTCGTAGTATTTTTCTTTCACAATGTTGAAATAGATTCCAACTTAGACTTCTTCCTCCTTTTACTCAAGTTACAAACCATAATAGGTTTAGTGTTGTGTTTATTAGGCATAAAGCCAACAAGATGACGCACTGTTTTGTGATTCTAGAATAGATTGGTTTGAAGAATCACCAGATATTATTAAAGATTGTCTAGTCTTTAATGCTTGTAATAAGGTTAAGACATTAACTCCCTCGAGTTCATTTTGATGATCAATAAAAATTTCCTTGTACTGTCGAGGTTCTCTCAAAAAACAATTATAAAAAAATATTCATATAATGTCAGGCCGATGATCTAAATTTAGGTAAGATAATTATTCAAGTTATACTTGGGGCTGTTTAATTGAAGAATTACATGTGTCACCATTGACCAGCATGCTTTGGCGTGCTTCTTTCCTTTCGTGTGACGTCTGAGTGAAAAATGATTATTATACTCACTTAACGGACAAGATTATTCTTTGTATAGGTATTCTGGACCAGCCCTTTTCTTATCTTTTGGATCCGTAGGTCCCACCCCAGTATCGTTGACCACTAAAAACTCAGCTGTAATGAAACAAAACTTATATCTTCAACGCCAAACGTCCAATCCCGTTGTTCCACGCTCATGGGCTTGCTAGGTCTGAACTCCCGGTTTTTTGCTTTGGGCTTGGATACTTTCGTATCTGGGCCCAAAGTTTGGTTCAATGAACCTTTAGCCACGTCATTGTCCTTTGTGGGGCCAGAAGGGGAAAAAAATCAGGTGTAAGCAGTCGTACTTTCTCTTTCGTGCTTTTGACGTAGCCAAATTGAAAAAGTTCAGATTAATATTAAAATTTACTTAACAATTTAAGCTTCGCATGAAACCATACAAATAAAAATAAAACTTCTAAACTCCAGTAAGGGAAATGTCCATTTTGGACTTATTTTCCTGATCAATGACATCTAGGAAAATTGGATCGACGGTGATGTGACTGTCCACGTGGACCTTAAATTTATGATCCCACCACAAAACCCTTGCGGTACCAGCGATATCGACGGCAGCGTCAAGCACCATCTCACGCCTCGCCGCGTCCGCGATGAAGCTAGCGGCGTGGTGGGCCAGCTGGAGCCCGTCCAGCCGAGCCGGGAGCTGAAGCAGCTGGGTGGACTTGGCCGGCTGGGAGCCGGCTTCGACATCTGCCGAGCCAAGAAGTGCGCCCTTGTAGAAGATGGACATGGTGGTGGAGGAATACTGGATGGGCACCACGTTGGGGTTGGTGACTTGGACGGTGAGGATGAGCTCGGCGTCGAGGAGCGGGAAGTTGAGCTTGAAGGAGGTGAGCTTGATTGAGACGACGTCGAAGGTTGGGTCCTTGGGCTTGGAGGAGATTAGAGCCGTTGTTGCTAAAGCCGACGCCGCGCCGATCAGAGCTGAGCTCCAGCTCCAGTCGAGCTTTATGCCCATGGCCATGGTGTTTGGACGAATTTTCTGAGAAAATGGGACGGCCGAGTTGAATTTGAGATCTGAGGAGTTGAGTTGAGTGTGTGGTTTAATGTCGTTTTGGAGTTCAGCTTTGGAAGAGCAGCAACACAAAGTGAACAGGTGGCGATAGAAGATGACGTGTAGCAGTAATAAGTCCAGATTCTAACTTATGTTAGATTTTTTTATCTTTAATTTCCATGTGGTAGTCATTTCTAGGGGCGCACCTCCGTTTTAAACAAATACAATTTAGTTCATTTGCATCTGATTTTTTTTTTTCTTTTTTTGCCGGAATCAATCATGTTCATTCAAAATCCATAAATAGAGAGAAAACAAACAGAGAATACAAAGGCCAAAAAGGCCAGTTAAAAAAACGAAATGCCACAAACAGAGAAGATTAAATTAAAACCAGTACAGTCTAGTATAATAGTCCTCCCCATCACAAAATCAACCAAAATACAATACAAAGTCACCGTTTTTCGCAAAAGGGACAGAGACCGAACCACAATGGCCACAAATGAGAGGATACACCACCACCACATACGTCAGCATTGCTGCACATAGAGACCCATGGATCTTCCACCAAAAACATATATTCCCCAAAAATCGGAAACACATCAGCTCTCAAACCTTCCTCCAAAAATCATCTTCTCCATCATACCTAAATCTTCCATTGCACCTGAGAGAAAACAACCAATCACAACACCAAGGTATATACCACAAGACTAACACCAAGAGAGTGGAGAGTATTAGTGCAAGCATCAGAGCAAGAACCGTAGCAAAAGCTCTAAATACAATCTGAGAAATGAGCGACAAAGCACTTATAGATATGGTTGTTGTATCCCAAAGGAGATTCTAGATCCAGAAAGAGGATAAGGCAAAAAAAGGATGAGAAGTTGAGGAAGAAATAAATCTGGTTGAAGGGGTTGTTTGGTGGAGAACGAAGGACACAAAATTGGCATGAGACATTTAATCTCAGCACAGAGTATAAAGCATAAGCGGACACCACAGAGGGAGAATCACCCAACTCTCAAAGAGAGCCACAAACACAGCCAAACAGGCTCAAACCGAAAGAAGACCAGCTCCACCAAAAGCCCAAAACAGGGGAGAATGGGAGGTAGCAGAATGAGAGAAAGAAAACAGAAAGAAAAGAAAAAAAATCAAGAAAACTGAAAATTGCTCTGTAAAAACAGAGCAGCTCCTCAAGAGGTGGAAGATGAATGAAAAGGCAGGAGAAAGGGGACGAAGGAGCAACCAAGAAAAGAAAGGGAGAGGAAGAGGAGGAAATAAAAGAAAAAAACTAGAAAAAGATGGAGGGAGAGAACAAAAAAGAGAAGAGAGAGAGAAAGGGGCTATGGGGAGGGAAGGGGGGGAGAGAGGGGAGGAGGGTCAGTGACCACTCCCCTTCCTGAACGGCGCTGAAGAAAGGGGGCTAAGGTTGGGAGAAAAAAATATATTCTGTTTAGAGAGAGAAATTCCCACCACGATTGGGCGCATCCGATCCAATATAGATTGAATTTTGATTTTTTCAATTCAATCCAATTATATTAGAAGTTTAAATCCAATCCAATTGATATTGGATTGAATTGGATGATCAGTTTTGATAATGAGAAAAAAAAAAACAATAATGAAATATTAAACATTTTAATAGACGTAAATGTAAAATATAAATGAAATACTAGAGAAAATTATTTTGATTATATAATATATTAAACATAGCTATATTAAATGATTCAAAATATTCATAACATTTTCAAGTAAAACCTATAAGAGCAAAATAAGCATAAAACTAACTAGATTGGATTAAATTGGATTCTCATAAGCAAATTCGCCAAATCATCGAAATCAATTGAATTTGGATTAGTTTGAATTGGATTGAATTTTGTACACCCCTAATCATTTTTCAGAGTCAACTGAAAGATGTAATGTCCAAGAGAGATTAGCAAATATTGGGGTCAATTTTGTCCTTCTACCTTATTGGGCCACACCATTGGGTCGTCCAAGTCTTCAACAACATCATTAAATTCTCCCATTTCACCGCCAATTAGGCGATCTAGGAGGCCTTCGAGAGAAAAGACAAGGTGCACATCGTAGATCTTCAATAAGGAATATGAGATATGTCTTTCCTGAAAACATCTGGATGGGGGAACATTGGGTATGAGATGTGGCGGGGCGGGGAAAGAGAGAGATTTGTTTGCTAAATGTGGGTGGTGGTTGGCAAGTGCGAAACTATACATTTTTTAATGGGTGGGCTAGCTAAAGTTATTAGCTTAAGATCTAATGAAATTTTTTTTTTGGTACTAACAGTTTCTATAGTTTTTATAGAAATAAAAGTATACATTAAATCATATAAATCACACTAGTTGTAAACACAAGAAATAAATTAAAGTAAAAGGACAAAGACATTTACTTAAATGTTGAAAATGAAAATAATGTAATTTGTATACTTGGAGTGCATCACCACCAGTTGAGCAAAAAGGCAATTTGAAGACACCTACAATAGTTTTTTCAGCCAAGAGAGGTACTTAATAGGTCGACCACTGTGTGGTAGGATATGCAATTGTATATATTTTTATTTATTTTTAGTTTAAAATATTATGCTATATATGTTTAATTATTATTATTTTTTCTTCAAAACCTCTTGGGCTAGTTCTTTCCCTGGTGGTTAGGGGTGGGCCTTTGTGATTCAGGCACCGAATGAGTAGGGGTAAAGGGTGTGAAGGGTTGAAGGTGGGTTGAACGTGCTGAATGGAATTTTAGTTTTTGTTAATTTATTTTTATTTCTTATGTTTATGTTTTTTTTAATCTCACTCTCATACTTCAATATTAGTTTTTGGCCTTGAAATTATAGTAAAAATAGTTGATAATTACAATATTATGATTTAACCAAATTACCAAATTAGTGCGGATGAGCAAGCAACCTTCTCTCGGTCTATGTTCTTTTTCAACTTTTGAATTCAAGACCTTAGTCCATCTCCAGCCATGGGCTATATCTCAAATATAGCCCTAAATTAATGCAAAACTCATCTCCAACCGTGGGCTAAATACAATTTTGGCCAAATTTGGAGGGCCATATTTGGCCCTTTAGCCCTCTAACCAGGCCAAATATAGCCAAGCTTTGGTCTAGGCCAAATTCATTGTGGACCCCACCATATGCTTTTCACCCACCAAATATTAAATTACTTCCCATTTGCCTTTTAAAAGCTGGATATATATAGAGTTTTAAATAATAAATGAAGCACTAGTCTGCCATGTATCACAACGAACCTACGGCTTTTTGAATGTTTCTTCTTGGCAATGATCGTTGCATGCAACCAACTAAGTCATAAATTATTTCCTACGAACCTGCAAATTTTTTGGTCGATTATTTTTTATTATTTCTTGACCTACACACTCCCTTAAAAAAAAAAAAAATCATAAATGTGGTCAGCTTTGCCATCGTTTAATTTTTATTATTTCTTGAACCTGCAAATATTATCTCTAAATAGTAGTTTAATTAAATTAAACAATATATAGTTGTTAAATGTATGAGTATTGTACCATAGTTTTTGTTAAAATAATAAAATATGAATGACCCAAAAATATAGCCCTGCATTGCATGGCTGGAGATTGAAAAATTTAACTCTGCACTATTCTTTAAAAAATTAATATTTTGAGGTGCTAAATTTTTAGTCCTTGACTACATTCAGTCATATGACTAGAGATAGGGGTGAACATCTTAAACCGAAATACCGAAACCGTACCCTAACCGCACCGTACCGTACCGATTTCATACCGTTTCATTTGGTACCGATAGATATTCGGTACCGTACCGTATCGTACCAATCGAGTACGGTATGGTAGCGGTATCAAGATTTTGATACCTGTCAATACCGTACCGTACCGAATAGTACTCTATTGAAATATAAATTTTTTTTTGTTGCATTCTCTCGCTCTCTGTATCTCGTTTGCCTTTCAATTTCTCAAACGCTTTTGTCATTTATGTTTGGATTGTGTTTGTATTTTTGTAAGCCATAAGGCATAAGTTTAACTCTTTTGGTTTGTAAGCCATAATGCATGAGTTTTAATCATTTGGATTTGATGAATATGTTGATGGATAAATATTGATTTGGTTTATTTGGATATTGAATATGTTGATAGATATTGAATATGTTGATTAGGATTTGGATATTGAATATGTTAATGGATATTGAATATTGAAAATGTTGATGGATATTGAATATGTTGAATCTTTGAATTTGTAACTTAGGCATCACTTATTTTGGTGTTGAATATTGAATTAGTTCATTTTTTAGTTGTATCATTTTGGTACCGAAATGGTACCGATACCGTACCGATATCGATTTGGCACGGTACGGTACGATACCAATTTTGGCAAACCATAATACCGTATCGTACCGTACCATACCTATTTAAATTTCCAATATTGATAGCGATACGGACTCAATACCGTACCGTACCGTACCGTGCCCACCCCTAACTAGAGATGACCTTAATAAGCTCTTGGACTTGTATTGCTTTCGAATCCGGACTTATTACACGCTAACATTTAAATGAAATGCTAAAGTGACACAAATAATAGTTTGGATTCCAAATTGGGAACCAACTACAGCACACAACAAAGCCAGCAAGAAGCCAAAACACCTTTAAAAAAAACAATTAAAAACACTGCTAATTTCTCAACTCAGGCAAGAAAAATCTCCATCTCCAACTTATTTTCCTGATCAATGACGTCAAGAAAAACTGGATCAACGGTCACGCGACTATCCACGTGAACCTTAAACTTGTGATCCCACCACAAAATCCTCGCCGCCCCAGCAATATCTACAGCCGCGTCCAGCACCATCTCCCGCTTCGCCACGTCAGCAACAAAGGTAGCGGCGTGGTGGGCCAGCTGGAGCCCGTCGAGCCGCGCAGGCAAGCGGAGCAGCTGGCATGACTTGGGCGGCTGAGAGCCGGCTTGAACTTCGGCCGAGCCGAGAAGCGAGCCGTTGTAGAAGATGGACATGGAGGTGGAGGAGTAGTGGACGGCTGTGATGTTGGGGTTGGTGACGTGGACGTTGAGGATGAGGTCGGTGTCCAGAACTGGGAGGTTGAGCTTGAAGGATGTGAGATTGATGGAGATGAGGTGGAAGGTTGGGTCCTTGGGCTTCGACGAGAACAGCGCTGTCGTCGCTAAAGCCGACGCCGCTCCGATGATTGCTGAGGTCCAGCTCCATTTGACCCTTTTGCCCATGGTCTTTCGGCAAATTTACCACTCTATTCGGAGCTCGGACCGAGGCAACTGAGATTGAGGGTTTGAATTGAAGCGACTGTCGTTTCGAGTCTAATTTTGGGATGTGGGATGTTGTTGAATTGAAAGGCCAAGACAAGTGGACAGATGGCAGTAGGAGATCGCATATAGGACAATGGAGTAATGTCTCGGGTTTCATTGGGTTGTACTCCACTCCAAAATTTTATGTTACACAATAATGTCGCGAAAAATAATTATTGGTTGTTTTTTATTTTTATTTTTTATTATATATATATATATAAAGCAAAATGCAGAGAATAATGAAACATTCAAAATATTATAAAATATCTTTAGTTAATTCAAACATTAAGAATTGAAAATATTAATTAAATGAGGATAATATGATAAATTCACATTTTTTTATATTAAAAAAAAATTAAAATTAAAAACAAAATAAGATAATAGGTCCTACTTTTATGGAACATAAATATCCATGTTATCTTTTCTTAAATCTAAAAATAAAATTAAAAAGAAAACTAATTGGCATATGCGTGAGCATGTGTTAAGGGGCTTGTATATAGAAATTCTAAAATTGTATTTATAATTCAGTCAAAAAAGTCATTAGTCACAAAGGTCCAATACAAACTAACCATAAAGAGCAATTATAATAACGGAGCAGTCTAACATCAAAATTAAGACAATCTAGTGCGTCTCCACTAACGATTATGCATGATAGAAGAAACTTTAGCATAGACATCCTAACTAAGATTACAAAATCAAAATAATTAAAAAAAAGATGTAAAACTTGAAAAAACCAAGCCATAACAATAAAAATAAAACTCTCACAAAGGAGAGATGAAACCTCTCACAAAGGAGAGGTGAAAAGCCCTCACAAAGGAAAGGTGAAAAGCTCTCACAAAAGGAGATGTGAAAACTACATAGATAACCCAAAGAGTCTTTGTGATTTATTCCAAACATAAAGAAACCGCAAGCTGAAATGCATGTGGAGATCCGACGCCAAGATGCAGCTTCTTGTGATGGTTGGAGGAAAATCTTAACAAAACAAAGACAAATCGAGAAAACCTTTTGTCTCTGAATAAGGGGAGAAGAGAGGGAGGAAGAGAAGAGGGGAGAGGGGAGAAAGAACAGTGGCTTCCCCCTCAAAGTGAAAACGAATCTAGGAGGGCTTTTTGGGAGAGAGGGGGCTAGAGTTTGGGAGAGAGGGTTTTAATCATTGGGTATCTGGGGGTTTTGAAAACTAACATTAGCTTATTTTTAACCTTTTAATTCAACAACGTTGTTAAGTGTAATTTTGAAATGATTTACTTAATATGTGTAATTTGCAAGTAATTGCATGCATATTATCTTAAACCTTATACCCATGGAAGTACAATTTCTCCTCTGTTACCCTAAATTAATCTCTCCAAACTAAGATAAAGATGCAAATCATGAAGAAAACAATAAATCAGCACAGACATTTTAGATGATTCAGCTCATAAGAAAGAGTTCACAGATACATAAACACAAAGGAAAATG